CCTTACTTTCTAGGAGTACCTTCAGTCACTTTCTTACTGTGCTCTTAACAATTTAGACATTTCTGATTCAAGTTAAACCTAATCAGCAGTACTTTCAACCCACACAGTGTGGGCAGTATGAGGAACAGTACCACATTTAGGATGGTGTGAGCAGTTCCCTCACACAGTGTGCCAAGCCAAAGGGACACAAAGTAGTAGTAGTGGTAGTAGTTGTAGTAGTAATGTTGTTGTTGTCGTTTTGTCGTTTAGTCGTTTAGTCGTGTCTAACTCTTCGTGACCCCATGGACCAGAGCACGCCAGACACTCCTGTCTTCCACTGCCTCCCGCAGTTTGGTCAAACTCATGTTAGTAGCTTCGAGAAAACTGTCCAGCCATCTCGTCCTCTGTCATCCCCTTCTCCTTATGCCCTCAATCTTTCCCAACATCAGGGTCTTTTCCAGGGAGTCTTCTCTTCTCATGAGGTGGCCAAACTATTGGAGTCTCAGCTTCAGGATCTGACCTTCCAGTGAGCACTCAGGGCTGATTTCCTTAAGAATGGATAGGTTTGATCTTCTTGCAGTCCATGGGACTCTCAAGAGTCTCCTCCAGCACCATAATTCAAAAGCATCAATTCTTCAGCGATCAGCCTTCTTTATGGTCCAGCTCTCACTTCCATGCATCACTACTGGGAAAACCATAGCTTTAACTATACGGACCTTTGTTGGCAAGGTGATGTCTCTGCTTTTTAAGATGCTGTTGTAGTAGTAATACCTATCTTTATACTAGTAAATGTCCTATTCAAGTCTCCTTCTTGTTTATCATTATTATCAGGTTCTATCTCTGATACAATTTTGTAAAGATTAAGAGAGTTGGTACACAAAATTTGCTTCAATATAGTTTGTTGTCAAATCTAGCTACTATTATTAAAAATGTATCTTTTATAAAGACTTATCCTATAGCTGTAGGCACTGGAATATACATGGATCTGCAAAAATAACTAGTGAGCCCAGCAACAGATAAGGAATATATTTTATGTTAATTATGGGAGAGTGAACGGAAGCAAGAGAAGGAGGAGCCCTCACACACAGAGAGACACACAGAGTGTCAATTCTAAAGTCGCAGGGGCGCAGGGAGAGTGTCAATTCTAAAGTCACAGGGGTGCTGGGAGAGTGAACGGAAGCAAGAGAAGGAGAAGGAGCCTTCACACACACAGAGAGAGTGTCAATTCTAAAGTCGCAGGGGCGCTGGGAGAGTGAACGGGAAGCAGGAGGAGGAGAACGATAGCTCAAGCACACACACACACAGCCCCTACAGTGGCTAATCCAAAATCGGACAGCAAAAAACTGCAGGCAGGGACAGAGAGCAGGGGTTGTTTTAAAGCAGCCAACCCCGCTCTGCTTCTCTCCCTCCTCCCCAGCTGGGCTCGCTGACAGGGCTCGCTTTGCTGTTTCAAAGCGAGCCGCGGACTGCTCACGACTGCAGCAGATTCCCCCGCCATCTGTAGGCATTCGCTCCATAACACGCACAGACATTTCCCCTTACTTTCTAGGAGGAAAAATCTGCGTGTTATGGAGCGAAATTTACGGTAGATGAGAGAAGATCCATAAAAAAGCAATTGTACCAAAATGAATTATTGTGAAAATATGAAATGGGGGGGGGCCACTAAATGTCCTTGCTCGGGGTGCAACATTTCCAAAGTACACCCCAGTGAGGAATTCTTCTTCTTATCAAGTTAGCAGTCACCTTTTCATTTAAAGTTTAATATATGATTTTAAGAGCATTAAATCATATAATAAGAAACTGAATTTCTAGATCTTAAAGTATTTCTTCATGTGTTATAATTATTTTATATTATTACACTTCTCAAAGCATTCTAAGTTCAACCACAGTTATGGAGACTAAAATGCTGCTTTCCCTCACTACTGCCATTGGCTTTTCATCATTGCAAAAGTATGTACAGGTTGCTGACAAAAGAGCTTTATTTAAATGAGCTGTAAAATCTTTAACAACAATTCTAAGTGGAACAGGTTTAATAATAAAGAGATATCTTTTTACCTATGCACTTGGAGTATTAGAAGATAAATATTAGCTAGATTTTGCTCATAATTCTGCCATTCTTGCTTGCCTTGCCAAAACCTGTAGAGTTGTTTTGTCAGTGTTTGAGTTATAACAATGAATTGTACTGACACGGCTTATATCATTTACTTAGTATGCAACATCTCATTGCATTATTAAATTAATATGGCACATCTAGGATTATCTAATATGTTTAATTATTATTTTGGAGAGAAAAGGGCAGATTTAGAAAGATCAACATTTTCTGCATGGTTTTTTAACCCCTAATTCTTCAACAATCCTCAACGGATTTGGTTTAAACGGAAACCAACATTAAAAATCTAACTCGATGCGCACACCTAAAAATGCTCTTTGGGCCTAGTCAATGAAAGCAAATGGTTCCAATTAGCTAAATGTTCTGTTGTGGAAAATGCCAACTTCCAATGTGGCAATTTCATAAAACTTGGCTAGAACAAGTAAATGATATATGATGGACCCAAGACCCAGGAAATAACATAAACATGGAGAGGAGGGAGAAATTATGAAGAAAAGATCATAAACTTTTTCTGAATACGGATATAAGACAGAATTGTTTCAAAGATATGACATGTCTTTGTAAGTCTTCTGTAATTATCAGAGCCAATATGTTATTGGCTCAAAACTGGAAAGTTGCCATATTCCCTCCCTGGAAACAATGGCTTAACAAATTTTGGGATTTATCTATAACAGCAAAAATAATGACTTATCTTAGAGCAAGAATTGTTAATAAATATAGAAATAATTTCTGGTAAAACTGATTGCCCTTTATACAATATTATCAAGAAAATACAAAATACAAGTAGTTTTTGAATTTATTTATTTTTTGAAAATATATATTTTTGTCTTGATTCTTATTTATTTATTCTTATTTGTATTATAACATTATGATTTGAAGTAATGTTTTTTGATCAGAGTTTTGATTATTGGTAATAATTGTCAAATAATTCAATAAATAAGCACAACAACTGGAAAAACCTAGAAGTAAGATGTGGGTTGGCTTAGTGTTAAGTTTAAACTCTGTCTTGTGGTTTGTCTTGCCCCAAACAAACACAAGATGTAACCATGGTTTGTTTGTTTTTTTATTTATTCTGATTTGTTTGTCGGTAACAAACCATGAGCCCAGGTTTGCATGTAATGCAAAGCCAAACTATAGCTTAGCTCTGGGTTGCAGCAGCAGGGCCAGGAGACAAGCAAAAAACCACACTTTTCTCTCTAGGCACCAGCACACTTGCCTGTTCACAGTAAAACCATGGTTTGGCTTACCACTGCATGTGAATGAGGCCCATGTGAAATATTGAAATATTAATTTCAGCATTATAGCTGGTATTTTGTATAGATTTTCAAAGATGGTATTGAAGACAGGGGAAATTATGTGTTTCTCAACTCCCTTGAGAAACAAAATGAAAATGAGATTTGGACACGGTACAATGTATTGGTCGCCAAAGAACGCTTCCTTTCTCTGATATAAAGACATTTTTATTCATGCGTTCATTGTGGTATTGATCTCAATAGGTTTGAAAACTTCCATAGATACATTATACCATTGTTTTAATGTGGTTGACAACCATGCTCAGAAAGGTTGTGTACTGACAATAGTGATTGACATTTTACTGAGAGTACTGTAGCATGACTAAATAGAAATGCAGCTTTAAAAACTCTTTGATATAATTGGTTCCCATTAGCCATTTTCTACATTAGCAGTGTTTTCCTCTCCTGCAACAAACAAATGTGACCAGGATCCAACCAGTATCTCGTGTGGATTTGGGCATGTCCAGTGATACTTTTTACTTCTTACTTTTCCTTGAACTGATAGATCCTTATACCATATTGCAAAATGCTCTTGAAAGTTTTCCTGTGTTTCAAATGTGACTCAGAAGTTTCACGTGTGGAAGTTGTTGTCCGAGCCCCTTTGGGCACATGGACTTAATTACTATCCTGGATATAGAGAGAGGAGATTAAATGTTAGCTATTAAGGTAATACGTTTGCATCCATTCATCTGAGCTGCATGTAAAACTACTGTGCCAGATTTTTTTATTTATTTCTTATTTATTCCCAAATTTAGAAGAACTGTAGAAATTGGTTAATAATGTGTCTGCAATAGCTGTTACGTTTAAAACTCATTTAATATTCTTTGTCAAAGTGATTTTTGCATTTAGAAAGATATGTAAGAAAACCAGGGTAAGCCCACACTTGTGATTCTCTTTATACAGTATATTGTAACATCTGTGTAAATGTGCATGTGCAGATATAGATATATAGATATGCTGGTGTCACATTCAGCTGCTGCCTTAACTGCAATTTAGTGCAGTTAGATGCTTTCATGTCACATGGTTATAGCTAGGTAGATTAATAGGGAGTTCTATCTGGAAATTTCTTTCCTGTTATTGTTCTCCCTCAGCTGCTGATGGTGAAGTTAATTCTCTTTAGTTTTGTCATGCTCTGGAGCACACATTGCCAAGCTATGATAAGCTTTACAAGGAAAAATGAGCCACAGTGTCCATCAAAGTCTTAAACTTGCATTTTAAACTTTGGCCTGACCTGATGTGCCATTCAAAATGCTTCAAAAGATTATTTTTTTAAGAAAGGTTCAATATGTCCCGAGGCTATCGGTTTTGAGTTAAACTGGGTGAAGTAGAAATATTTTACTCATCAGCTTTGCAGTCACAGAGTTTGCCTCAGCTAGAACAAAACTGCTGAGGCATTTAGAGAAAATTAACCCCCCATCCTGGCAGCCAGATGTGACTGGTTTCTGATGAATGCACATGAGTGGGCTGAAAAATCAAGAGACTGTGAAATTCCTGTCAGGTCCGTACAGTGCAGAATGGGCTATTGACTGCTTTCTATATTTCCCTCCATCATTCTTCTTGAACACTGCCATTAATTTCCTCTCCCACTCTGACTTATTTTTTCCCCTTTCCTCTTTTAGCTCTCTCGGCTGCAAAGGAAGCTGCACAGGGTATTGGTGGAGTACTTCAAACAGCGAGCCGTCTATAGCCAAGCTGGGCTGGCGAAGTTCCAGGCAGCCTCTCATGAGAATTTTCAGAAAATATTAGCTGTGCAGGTAGGTGATTGCAGGGAAGTAGGAAAGATCATTCTGATCTAGATTGAAAAGCAAATGATGGGTAGTGTGATGAAGCATTAAAACCATATCCCATCAGAGTTTTGTAAATTTTTAACCTCTTTAATAAACTGAAATTGCATGAAGGATGAATCCAGTAGGCTAGCATATGTACCACAGATAGATATTTTCTTTAAAAGAGAAAGTTGGATTTTGTTCTTGGAAGCCTTTACAATGATCATTATACAAATATATTTATTTTTAACCATTGAAAAACAGGCATTAAGAGTGCAGCTAAAATATTTTAGAACACACTATAGTACATTCCTTTCTTTACCTCTTATTGACACAGAAAGCAACACTTTTGATTTTTCACATTTTATTCCTCTAAAGAAAAAGAAGCTAAAGATCATCACTTTACATATTCTGAGGAGGGGTAATGGCATAACAGGAATTAAGGAATCCTGGTGTCATGGACACAAGGCCCAATCTGATTAAGCCAACATTATTCTTACCTTCAGACCCAGACCTGGACACCTCACAATAAGAGCCAAACTAAGTGTGACAGACTGCCATGTGTAGTCCCCCCCTTTTTTCCCTTCACAGAATGTGGGCATAGAAATAGGGGGATTTATTAACATTTCTCCCTCTAGCAGATTTTCCAATAACAGTTGTTCCCTCCCAAACTGCTTTCTCTCCAATCACCCACATCATAGAATTGTAGAGATGGAAGGGACCCCAAGAGTCATCTAATCCAACCACTTGCAATGCAGGAATATCAACAAAAGCGCCCATGACAGATAGACATCCAATCACTGCTTTAAAACCTCCAAGGAAGGAGAATCCACCACCTTCTGAGGGAGTCTGTTCCCCTGTCAAACAGAACTTGCTGTCAGAAAGTTCTTTCGATATTTAGTCAAAATCTCCTTTCATGTAACTTGAATCCATTGGTTCAGGCCCTACCCTCCAGAGCATGAGAGAACAAGCTTGCTTCATCTTCCATGTGACAGCCCTTTCGGTATTTGAAGATGGCTATCATATCTCCTCTCCATCTCCTTTTTTCCAGGCTAAACATACCCCATTCCCTCAACTGTTATCATAAGGCTTGGTTTCCAGACCCCTGATTATCTTGATTGCCTTCCTCTGCACATATTCCAGCTGATCAATATCCTTCTTAGATTGTGGCACCCAGAAGTGGACACTTCCAGGTGTGGTCTGACCAAGGCAGAATAGAGCTGTACTCTTACTTCCCTTGATCGGGAAACTATACTTCTGTATACTTCTGTATACTTCTGATGTAACCTAGAATAGCATTAGGGTTTTGGTGTTTTTTTTGCTGCTGCTGCATCACACTATTGACTCATGTTAAGCTTGTGGTCTCGTAAGACCCCTAGATCCTTTTCACATGTACTACTGGCAGTCCAGGTAACCCCCCCCCATCTATCTTATATTTCTGCAGTTGGTTCTTCCTGGCTAAGTGTAGAACCTGCATTTGTCCCTACTGAAATTCTCTCAACAGGGACAGGAATCCACAATGGGGAATGACTACTGAGAAGGCATTTGCATTGACTACAGACTCTTCATGTTATGTTTCCAAATCATGTGTCATATTGTTTGACTGATCCTGGTTTCAGAATTATGTGCTAACTCTGCCCCAAAGTGGGTAGCAGCCAATAATAAACTATTGTTGTTGTTTATATTTGCCTGTCTCGGGAGACAATGGAAGAGGTGCACTTCAGGGTGAAGTCAAACCGTTGGAGAGTTATAGCATCTGCTGTGACTGTAGAGACTGATATGGGAGAGAGATGTTTTGTTGCATGCGGGGCAGATTAAGGCATCCAGTTCTGTTGCCACAGGTACACCATGACATGTCTTTTCTCTGCACTCCTCCCAGAGATCATTCTTCCTCTGGTCACTCCTATAGATACACAACCTGACTGTTTCCAGGTACTGCAATCATCTGCAAGGGATTCCCACACATGTTGCCAGCCTTCATGATATATTTGCACACATCTTTGTAATGCAGTGTTGGTCTGCCAGTAGGCCTAGTGCCTGAAGCCAGCTCTCCATAGAGCACATCCTTGGGGATCCTGCAATCTCCCATTCTCCCATTCTGTGGACATTGCCACAGAAGCCTGGTAGCTTCATGTGGCACAAACACGAACAACCAAGTCCAGCTGGTGCCAGTGGTCTGATCTTGGATGTCTCTGGGACACTCACTGTTTTCCCTTGGTAGAGAAGAACATGTTCGTGATGCAAGTTAGCAGACTTATTTTTTCTTAAATAATTTGTCTTTGAAAGAAAGAGGAGTGGTAGTACCCCTGGTTTAGCACTATTAAGCCTACTGCCACAGACTTTAGTTGTAGTCTCGTAATCCAATGCCAGAGCACATCTTCTAGAGTTAGTGCCCTCTGTGCCCTTGGAAAATGGGACCAGTGTTTACCTGTCTATTGAACAGCCCTTTCATTTATGGTTTCCTTCTTACTTGTCAAGTGATCATCAATTTAACTGCATTTTTTCTCAACAGTTCTTTCACAGGTAAATTATAATAGTTCTCTAGGTGGATGATCTTCAAAGCCTCTTTTATTTCTGAGGGTTCAAGTATTTTTACAATTGCCGATAACATTCAATTGCATCTTTTAGACATGCTAATTTTTCAGAGACTGTTATTGGCTTTTTATTGGTCCTGCTTTTTGCCATTATTTATAATAATTATTTGGAATGCTGAAGATGAAATTTAGGTACAAATCTTCTGTTTTATAAATTTCAGTTTCCTGTTTAATATGACATATTACAAAATACAAGTTTCACCTCTTAAGGACAACTGTGAATTAATTCCCTGATATTCTGAACTTTAGATCAGATTCTGTGGTTATCTGCAGAGAGCAGTGCTCATACATATTTTCCCTGAACCCAAGACAAGCTTGTAATGTGCTCCGCTCTTATCTCTCTCCCCCACCCCATCCTGATCTCATATTGGTTTTGAAAAAATGAAGGATTGATTGTTCGTTAGCTTCATTTAGTTCCCTTTGTTCAAGCTCTTTATGTTTCTGGCAGTTTGGCATATATGCACAACAGTGACAAATACTCTACAGATACTGTTAGTTCTCTTAGGCTCTCTGGAGACCAGAGGCCTATCTCATGGATGCCATCTTCAGTTCCATGATGGAAGAAAACTTGGATATAAGTGCAAAAAAGAAATATAAAATAATAAATGTACTTGTTTATGTTTTGGGGTATTTAAATCCACTCAGCATCACTAGGCTTGGGAGAGTGGGAGAGGAGCAGAATCTTGCCATGTAGACGGCAGCCTGTTCAGAAACCTTGGGTGCTTGTCAGCATTCTACACATGCAAAAATATTTCTCATTATAACTCCTGTGCATATATAGTAGTATTCCAGTGCTTCTTAGCATGGTATAGCATGTATTAGGCCCTACTCCTACCAGCATGTATGACCCTTAGCAGACAGGATGGAAGAAGAAACAATCCAAATTATGCAGGAAGCAACCTGCTCAGTGGCATAAATACAACAGATTGCATCTAAAATTATAGACTAATCTTGGTTGCCATTGGACCACTTGACGAAGTACCTTAGCATGACAAAATACTGCAGTTGCAGTTGGTGCATGTATGTTCAAATGTTTGTCATCAGAACAGCTTATGGAAGTTAAGGCTTCCTTAGATTGCCTTGGCTGTTTGACCAGTCCTTTACCTACCATGCAGTAGAGAGAGAGATAAATTTGACTGTTCCATTCACATTTCCTTAAATGTAGCAAGATTCATTAAACTATATGAAGTTTAGTGAATTGCAAGAGCCAGCCAAAATGCTGCTGTTGATTTGCTTGAGTGCCTTTTGTGTCTCAGTGTGTCAACTTGGTGGTGCTGTGCAAACAGGGAAATCCTTTGTTCAAGCTTGTTACCTCTTAAAATCCTAGCTAGTTACCTAATGCTCTCTCTTAGCACTTTGCTGCTACTGTTCTACGATGGCATTTTGGAGCCATTCACAGAATTTATCCACTTCTGGGTTATGGTCTTTTCTTGTCTTGGCTTCAGCCATCTGATCCTCCTTGAGGGGAAACCTACTGCAGTGTTGCTTCATTCCCTATCTCTTAAAGCATGCCCTCAGCTTCCCTGGCAGCTTTCTGAACATTGCTGCTCCCTATTCAAGGTAAACATAGCCTGGTCTCAGCAGCCAGACTGTTATTTCCCTAGACCACGGCAATGCTAACTTCACACTCCAATTCCCGATTCCCTCTATTTATAGTCTGAATTCTAACCTCTTATTCCTCAGGTGACCCACATCCTCTATTACTAGCTTCACCTAGGTTAGTGCCAACCCAGCATGCCAGAGACCTAATCTTTTAAGTCACTCTGGTTCAAAGGGGTCTCAGTTGTGCTATATATACAAAGCACTTCTTACAGCCTCTCAGATGGGAATCTGGAATGCCTCTAACAGATAACAAGGTTTTCCTTATTTAAAAAATATTACATATTCATATCAGTATCCACGAACCTTTGGACTTCTATGAAGACAGAAATCTTGGAGGGAGAGAGTCCTTTTCCAAATTGAACTTAGGTGGTGGTGTGAATTGGATACAAGGTGGTAATCATGTGAAACCCAAACAGTAAAATTAACAGAATGTAACTGGTTCTAATGTCATTAGACTATTTGACCTGATTCAGATGTACTGATAGGAGTCCAATAAACCAGCCCAGAATATCAAACCAGGATATGGTTTGATATCCTGCCTTTGAAGAGAACCCTTAACAATTTCCACATTTGGATGTCCAGTGAAACCATGATTTAATGAACCAGGAAGGTTTACCCAAGCCAGTTGACAAGGGGAGGAGAGAGGCCAGGGCTGAGGAAGGGAACACATAGAGAAACTCAGTCTGGTAAACCAAAATTACAGATGAACTGAACTATAAGGTATTTGTTTTCCCCAGAAGTATCAAAGTTGGAGCATTTTCTATGTTGGAGAGGTGTTGACAATGTTGTGCTCAAACAGATGAGACCTCAGAGCATGGCATATTTATTATTATGTATTTTGGCCAGTGGCGTAGCGTGGGGGGTGCAGGGGGGGCCGGCCGCACCGGGCACAACATCTGGGGTTAGGGCAAATCCATAGGTTAGGGGGCGCAAATCCACGGGTTAGGGGGCGCAAATTACTTGCCTTGCCCCAGGTGCTGACAACCCACGCTACGCCACTGATTTTGGCTAACCAGACTAGAAACCATTTTTAGATCACACCTTTGGAACATTGCCATTAATAATGTGCTATTAATGTTCTGATATTACTGATGTGCTAGGTCACTTCCATGTGGAATTATATTTTAAAATAGATTCAATTCTGTATTGACCATGTAAAACATATTGCTGCAAAAGAAACTGTGGGTTTGTAAGCTGTCAGTGTGCATTTCAAGCCTCTCTTTATTTTTTCAAAGTACCATGTGTGAAACATCAGGAAAATACCACTCGGCAGCTTTTAATGCCAAGCTTGCTAACACACTTTAGGCCAATTTAGCCCCTCCTCTTTTAACCTACATCACAGTTTTAAAGATGCAAGGAACCATTTTTGGCAGCTGCCCTGCTTTTATTACTTCCTGAATTAATTGCGTCAGTTTAGCACATCTCCAGGAAAAGATGCTTCTTCCATTGATTATGAACGTAGCTACTGAACTCTTAACCATGGCTGCAAAGTAGATTATCTTTTAAAGACACTGGTTTTGAAACTTAGACATTTAATTTAATTATCTTTTCTCAGAAGTGTACAAAGCAGTGAGAAACCTCATGTGAATAACATATTCATAAGACAATGCAGAGATGCATTTTTTGCCACAAACTCACTAATTTTAGCTATAATCACTAGCAATGTTTTTGTTTTACAGACTACTATGATTTGGCAAAAGAATAAAATTGCTTTTAAAGTACAAAAATAATTATGAACCACTTGAAATGTAATGTCTGTGTTTTATTTCTCATCAGAATTCATTAGTGTGTAACATCAATAATTTAGCCCATCATTTGCCAACACTGACTTGGCTCAGTAGTTCAATCATGTAACCCTGTAAACTCACTTTCCATTAAAATGAATGTTGCTGACAAAGGATAACTAAAGAGATACTTCATTTATTAGCTAAAGAGATACTTCATTTATCAACATTTTTAAATTAGGAGTTTGGGACCACAGACACTTAGCTGGATAAAATATTTGAAGGGATCTTTACTATACAACTCAAAATGTATGTGGAATCATAGCGTGTTATTCAAAATGACAAATATATTTTTATTTGTGTAACATGCTTCATAGATAGCATGCTTTTCCAGAGGCAGGCAGAGCCACTTGCAAACAATGATATGACCTACCAGGATGACAGCTTGGTTGTCTTGCGCAAAGCAATTATGGTGCAGTGTCTTAATGGAATTAGAACTTCCTTCCTTCCATTTTGCTGTAGAGGAATCCAGGCTGAAATCAACCCACGCATGACATACTTGTCCTCTGAGTGGCCACCCATGATTCTACCTGGATAGGCAGCTTGAGATGGCATGATCCATACTTCACAGACTGACAATGTGGGTACACACTGAGGTATTCTGATGACTGGCTTAGCATATGCAAAGAATTGACTTCAACCCACACTCTAACATGTGGTTGGAGTGAATCATTGTTTAATCAAACATTTCTCATACAAAAACACTAAATGCAAACCAATTTATCCTTCAATTTCTAAACAGTAATTTGAAGCATTAATTTGTAAATTAATTTATCATGAAGTAGGCCTTTCACAATAGCCACTATTTTTATCTACTCCAAATTGAATCTTTATGATTTTTAGATTCCTCATCTAGTGGGCCAGTACGCACAGAGCTGGAAATTGGGGCATTTAGATGAGGAACCAGGCTATGGGAGAGTCATTGAACTCTATATGGTTCATGTGACTTGGTGCTATATATGAGTGCTTCAGTTGCATCTACTGAACATACATTATAGTGCATCTACTGGACATACATTGCCCAGAGAGTGCTGATTCTTTACAGTCCATATTTCCCACCAAAGCATTATCAATGGAACAGAAGTTTGTCTGAAGTAATTTGCCCTTGACAGATCTCAAGCTTTTTCAGATATCACAATTTTCTTTTAAGTATATGCAAATAGATCATTTTGTGATTTGTCCTAGTAATGAACCAAGCATGTGTGAAGTTTTTACTTAGAATTCTAAGTGTATTTTCTTTAGTTTTAATAGCTGTAACATGCTAAATTTGCATTAGAAATATTCAGAGGCCAGAAGTTTAATTCACTTTGGCTTATCTCACATTCTACAACTATCCAAAACTAGGAATGGGGCTCTTTTCTCAGACATCAGGA